AAATTTATTTTATGTTCGATTTGATAAAAAAAGAAAAAGAAAAAAAAATTAATCTAAAAAAGTTTGTTGTTGTTGAACAATTGAATATAATAATTTAATTAATGGATTAGTTTGAGATATGGATGTTAAATATTGATTAAAAGAAACTGTTTGATAATCATTCGATGTAATATGTTGATTTTGAGAAGATTTTGAATATTGATTTTCATTTAATGAATTACATAAGTCATTTAATTGAAATTTATTTTCTAAAAAAATTCTTTCATCAATTATACAATTTGTTAAAACAATTTCATCATATTGACGATTTATATCACGAATTGTTTCCAAATAATTAAATTCGTTTAAAAAATCTTCTTTTTTTATCAAAACGTTTAAATAAATCATTTTTTAAATGTTGTTCGATTATTAATCGACACATATTCGATGAACAACAATACATCATACATAATTTATCGATTATACTTCCATCATTTGAACATAAATCATTTAAACAACAACTTTAACAAAAAAAACAACACTTTTCTTCTTTTTTTTTATATCTTTTTATTCAATTTATTAGATTTAGTTTAATTAAATTATTTCGATTATTATATATTTATTCGTTTTGAATAAATAATTCAAATTAGTTTGATTTTGTTGACAACAAATATCGATTTCTAATATAATAAACAACTCGAACAATAGATATTCGATTTATGAAACTCTACAGTTAATCTATCATCGTTTCAACGAAACATTTTCCATAGTTTAATTAAGAAAAAACAAGTAGATTAGATTGAATAACTCGTTTAATATGATGAAATATAATTTCTAATATGAATACAATCATTATTTGTAAATCTTGGTTATAATTATATTATTTATAAATGATTATTAATCGATTGTTCATAGTTATAACTATAATATCGTTTAAACGATTAAGTTTCAAAACATGATTTGAAATAATCGTTAATCATATTCGATTATTTACGTTTTCATCGATTAATAATCATATTGACAAGAAAATAGGTTTTTTTTTCTAAGTTATCGATATATATATATATTCGATAAAAAAATATTTGAAATGATTTTTATTTAATAATATATTGATAAATCTCGAAATAAAATATTTAATTAAATTTAATTCTATATCGAACAATCGAAAATTGAATTTGTTTCAGATCTTATCTCAAAGACTTTTAAATAAAAATCCATATTATAAAATAGATTTTTATTTTAAAGAATTCCAACGAGTTTTTAAAAGTAAATTGACATAATCATAAATAAAAGAAAAAACTAGAAATAAGTAAATGAAATGAAGCAATCAGATCATTGATAGTTGATGGATAAATTGTTTTAGCTAATGCATATATTGTCCATATAAGTGAATATAAATCTTGATGTGAACATTTATTTTATTTATTTTTTGTATTTAATTTAGGATTTATTTGATTTGATGTTCTTTTATATTGATTTCCACCAAATATTTCAATAAATATTTTTCTATATTTTTCAAATATAATTGATGATATATTAAAAACATCTTCAACACTTGATCGATTTCTGATCGAATTGAATCAGGTAAATTGATCATATCTTCGTATTTATGTAATTTATCAAAAAAAAACAAATAATTCTAAATGATTAGCACTTTTTGGGGTGTGGGTATGGGTATGGAGTGTGGAGGTAAGATGACACTGAAGAGAGCCACCTCAACGCCTACTCAGGATGTGAGTGTGGGTGTGAATCTGCATCTAGGCCTGTGTGTTGGTATTACGTTCACTCACACCCAAGATAGAGACGAAATGTTTTTGTTTTGCTGATTCATAAAGTGTGCAACAAACAAATATCCATGTTTCCATTCATTTACGCAAATTGAAAAAGAATCAGGAGGCCATCACTATCGTCCTCATTATCATTAAAATGGACAAGAAAAATTTAAAACCATATGCTAGTGGCACATCGTCATCCACGACAAGTAAGCCAAATAAGCCATTCACAGCTGCAGCACCAACGATAGTTGTGAGTAGAAGAGCTGGGTGTGGGTATGAGTGTCTTTTTTTTGTTGAACATCCATATATACACCCTATTAGAGCTATAACAGTACCAAGAAGTGATGAATATTTATGTCTATTCCTATCTACATAAAACTGTGCATGGGTATAAATAGAAAGTTTTTTTTTTGTTTAATTTAGAAGAAGTCGATGACCATATCAAGGTCATACCTTCAATAATAAGTTGTTTCGTTGCAATAGGATTGTTATCAGTGA